GATCTTGAAGAACTTTTTTAAGTGGCAGTTAAATTGAGAAAAAGTAGATATTTAAGCTAGCGTTGAAAATAATTAGATACGCTACCACTTTTTCCAGGTCGTGGTGATCCTGGTATAGATTTAGCCTGATTTAAATAGTTGGTTACTACTTTAATTTCCCAAGATCATTTTTCAAGCTTCTCACTTGTACACATTTTCTTTTTTAATTATAATATGCTTTGATAAGCAGGGCTGCTAACTTTCTACGCTTTTCGCAAAAATTTATTCTAGTGGTATCTAAAGTTTATGTTTTACTGTATTATTTTTTACTCATTTGAATTTATTGTCCACACCACTACATATAAATGATTTTAAAGTTCATATGCAATGGCACTCATGGTGAGACTTTTAAAACGTTGGCACAACTACCAAAAATTCTAATTTTAAAAGTCTACCACTCTATTAAATATTCTGCAAAAGGTGCAGTAGTAGGCAGACTTGGATAAGTATGATTAGATAAGAGTAGCCAGAGCCGGGAAAATTTCAAAGAGTTGTGATAAATTTTAATGTTTTAATTTCACTTTAATTTTAGAATTTAAGTTTATCATTTTTTATATCTTGATTTATAAACAAACAAATGCTACTTCTACCAATGCGATAATTAGGCATTATAATTCAGATTGTATAACGAAGTAACAAATTTCTTTTAAAGAATGAATATATTGTGCTCCAAAAAATGATTACGTCATGATTTTATCAAATAATTAAGAACACTTTTCTTCCATTCCTTCCAACATTATTAATTGTCTTAAGATTTTTATCAAAAATGTTCTGCCTCACAAGAAAAATTACTTTCGCGGCAACGCCCTGCTGTTTACTAAAGAAAGAACCATGTTTGGTTAGGAACATGTTAGAACAAATTGAAGGTTAGTAGATATGCAAATGTCGGTATGATCGTTGTAAGCATCAAATACTTAATCGGTTTGACTCCAACTAATTACATTTATTAAATTAAATGTAATATTACTCAACATATATTCTTCAATATATATTTATATATGTAATAATATGCCTTTACAGACTATTTATATATATATTTCCTTATTAAAAATCTAGTTATTTTAATTGGTTCGGCAAACGTTATGGGAAGTACTAATGAAATATTTTAAAAATACATGTCCTTTTCTTAATTTATTTATTACAATGTCTTTTAAAAAAAATATGCATTTCTTCAATCTGTCGGGGTCACAAAGTCCTCCAAGTTCCTATAACAAATAAACACCTCGTGGAGTACTGTATCGCCAGAGATTGATCGTGCTCTGGTTCAAGTCAAAATTACGGGGGGAAAAACGGGATGTGACGTATGTATCATGCTTAATCTCAGGGATATTTTCTAGACCGTCGCCATTAGTCCATTATGCAGCTCTAGTGTGATGTAATTAAATGTATCAGTACTCCTAATTTTTTTAAAATGTGCTTTTTCTTTTTAATGGCATTTTACTTTAAGTAATATCGTTAATCAAAGTATTAAGTAAATAATCTATTATTTATTGGATGTAAATGTAAATACAGATTTCTATAATGTTGGGAAAAAATTTAAAAAAAAAGTCCTTAACACTCGGAACCCGTTTACTTCTTCCACGGATCCCAAGGGTTCCATGGAACATTATTTGGGAAACCGCTGCTCTAGAAGACGAAGAAACCTTGCAACCGTTATTTCAAAGGAAACCCTGGATTATAATTCAAGCGGCGCCTCCCAACGAACTTTCACTCCACAGTTCGATAACTCTTCTCATTAAATGAAAAAAACTGAATGAAAATAGTATTCTTTAAGAACGATCCTGCAAAATAATTAGATGCCAAAGGAAGAAGACCCATATGTTAGCACTATTCTGTTCTATACCTTAAAGAAAACGATCTTCACCGCTACTTTCACTTTAGAATCTTTATTGTACTTAAAGAACAAAGATTTTGGTGTTTCTTGTTCAGAAGAAAAAGTGTAACACAACTCGTTAAGAACATCGGCAACAACAGGTCTAATTGTTGCTGCCAAGGGTCAATTCTTGACGTTTAAAGAGGTTTTTTTGGTTACGAAATTGGCAGTTGGAATTTTGATAGTTGAGATAGGGTGATTGAAATTGCTTTGTGTGATAAGTGTTTGATTAAAACTCTCTTTTATCATAAGCGGAGGTTAGGCAACGTTTGCAGTTTAATGAATGTTTTATTCATTAATTAAAGTGTTTTGATGAAATACATAAATGAGTGAGTTAATTGTGGCGCATGTCATTAAATACTATGTTTCTTGTCTGGTATAAAGATTACAAGAGTAGAGTGGTGATGTAATATCAACATAGCAAAGATTATATCAACAGATATGCCAAAATTTGTTTGATATTTACGCTTACGAGAAATTGAATGGATGCATTTACTATTTTTCTTTCTCTCTTGTGAAAAGCTTTTTGGCACAATTTGGGCCATACCAACTAAAAACTTTTAATAATTTATATTATTTTTTTTATAAAATTTTCGTTTGACAAGAATGATCATCGATGTTTGCTAATCATTGTACAAAAAAAAAAAAAAAGTGCACGGAGTTGCCAACCTCCTTAATAACACTAGGGAACGAATTTTTGATGCATTTGTACAAATACTTGAATCTTACCTAATTCGGGAGGGATTTTTTCTGGTAGCTCAGGGAATAGAGCGTGATGGCTCATAGGATAGAGCGTTCGCCTTCAAATTAGGGGAACCGGGTTCGAATCCCAGCGAGGGCTGGTAGATACGAATTCTGCACCCGACTCGCACCCACCACAGTGCTGGCGTAAAATATCTTCCGTGGTAGATGGATCGCGGGTAAGAATCCCCTTGCCATCAGCCTATGGAAGGTTTTCGTATTTTTTTCCGTCATGTAACGCGAATGCGGGTTAGTTCCATTAAAAAGTCCTCCACGAAAGCAAATTTCTCCCAATACTTGATCCAGGAGTTCCCTTGTCTTCTGGATTGGGTTCAAAGTTACAAGGCTAAGGAGTTGAACATTGGAAGGCGTAAACCCAAAATTGGGTCGGCTCTTCAACAACGATTTTAAAATAAAGTAATGCGGGGCAAACCGGGAATTAGTTTTGTTCCGGAAACTACAATTTTTTTCCCCGAATGACATTTTTAGTTCCTTTTTTGTATGAATGTGCGAGTTTATAAAAATACCGTATAGATTTATATACGTACACATACACTTATCTGCTCTTCTGAAAACAACACTTTAGACAGAAAACATATGACCTTAACCTATCGCATTTTAAACTGAAATGTATTATCGCGTTTTTCTTACCACTCCCTACGAAATAGAGAAGTGGGGACACTTAATACCAAATGAAATCAACGCTTTCGTAACAAATTAAACCAATGTGTAAAAAATGATAGTATATTTGTAATATGACTTAGACAATGTGGCTTATCCTATTTTAGTTGTAATTTGATTTTTGAAGTTTCCCATCTTACACCATTTCAGACCTTTATTCGGATTTTAAAATTGATAATTTATTATTATGATCGATAACAAGCAAAAAATTAATGAAATACTATATTTGCAAAGATATCTTGCTTTCTCTGGTTTTCAGATTGTAATAAGATTATCTGGTTACCACTCATCCCGTTTTACAATATTTCAGGATTTTATTCACAGAACTTATCACCTTTAAAATTTATAGAATAAACGCTTTATGTAACTATTGAAATTCTTATGTTTTTTTAAATGAAAAAAAAGTGGTAGATAAATTTCTCGCTACTGACGTGTTTCAAGGCAAAGATGCAATTTTTTTAGTGAATACACGGTTTAATTTTTATAATCTACTAACATGATTGTATAATATTGAAGTTATAGCTAAAAGGAAACTCAATCGACGGCATTGATTCGAAAATTTCCTAGTAATTTTTAATCTTTTTTCAAATTTGTGATTTATCAAATCTCACAACAAAACTCAAATCTCGCAACAAGTTTGATAAGACTCATGCTTTTTTAAGTATATTCTGGTTTTTGAGAATCATAAATCAAATATCACATAAATTTTGTTTGAAATAAAGTAGGTCTAAGCAGTTATTTTTAGAAAAGACAAAATAATTGTAATTTGAAAATGAAATTTGTGAAATTTCATTCATATATGCTCATACGAATTGTCCCCTGGCGTCTCAATAAATTTTGAAGACATCTTTCAATTCTCATCACGAGATAACGTGATCAAGTTAGCATTTAAGATAGATGTTTGAATTATTTACATATCATGATGGCCTTAGCAAATGATATCAAATTTACTAGACCAGGAATGAAATGTTAAAACAAAACATTCGCCACGATAAAAAAAACTTTTCCTCAAAGCGAAACAAGTTGTTATCTCTGCTGGACATATATGTCTGTTTATTTTTCCGCTTCTGTGATTTGGAGTTAAACAGTACATGTTTTAGCTTTTAAAAAGTAGAAGGGACAATTTGTTTCGCTTAGAAAGGAAATATTTTTACAACCAGCACTTTATAATATTTTCGATAATTAGCTGTCTCTGAAATTATAATTAATTACCACGTGATCATGCTTTCTCGATTCCTTTGTATTAAATTTTTATTCATTTGTTTCTATTTATTCATTTGCAAAAATATTCTCTTAAAAGGACATCTCCTTTAAAAAAAAAATTATAATTGCTCAAGCTGTTGATTATTGGCCTTTATTTTCTAAGAACAAAAAAAATTAGCTTACCATATTATATTAACAATAAAGTTAAGTCTAATTCGATCTGAAGTCAGAGCATGGTGCATTTTCAGAGATAAGTGGTAGATAACAGAAGAAAATGTCGACTTTTTTAAGTAAGCACACGTTATTGATATTCACTATATTTGTGGTCAAAAGTAAATGGTAAAAGTGTTGAAGTTTTTATAGTTTGAGTTAGGAATACTTTAAATACTACCTAATATACACCTAAATACTACTCAATATACTAATGTTACACTGTTTCAAATACTACCTAATATACACCTACCTAATACTACCTAAGTAATACAGGTTAGTCGAAATATCATGAGAGGAATTCCATGTCTTGTTTCTGCGTCTGCTTCAGTTTATGGTGTAATTATAGAAGTGTTTTCGGCAGCAAAACAGCACCTGAAATTATAAATTTTTTATTTAAAAGAAGGTATCGGAAAAATTATTTCAAAGAATCATAATCATAAAAAAATTATAATCAATCAAATGTTTATCAGATATTTTCTTAATTTGTGTTTAACTATAATTATTTATTAATATTTATGTAGCTTAAAAAAATAATAAAAAAAACTTTGGAAATTTAGAAAATTCATTTCGTAATTCTTTTCAAATGAGTTACAAACAAGAAAGATTGAATAAAACCGAGTCTTGATTATTTTATTTGTAGCAGAACCGTTACATACTTTTCTGTTACAAATCAATCATACGGTTCTGGATTTATCATGTAATTACAGTTTTAAATAAGAATAACATTCATTCATTACATGATTACCAAAGCTTACTTATTTACTTTAAAAAATATTTGGTAGAAATTTTAAATTCGATTTTGCAGTTTATTATTCTGCAATATTTAGTTTTCAAAGTTTTTTGACTTGAAACCATTTGATTCGGACAAAATGTTATGAACAATATTGTTCTTACTTAAGGGACACCGCGTTTCTTTTAGCTGTAAGTTGTTTGAAAAACTTCACGTTGCATAACTATGAGCATAGACATTGAAATGGTGTCATTTTTATCTATACAGAACGTGCATCAACCAAAATTAAAGAAGTAAGTTAAAACTTTTTCATTTTTATAACGCTGATGAATTTTATTGTTTTACAACCGTCGTTGAACTGCCGACCCAATTTCGGGTTTACGACTACCAATGTTCAATTCCGTAGCCTTGCAATTTTGAACCCAATCCAGAAGACAAGGGAACTCCTTGATCGAGCATTGGGAGAAATTTGCCTTCGTGGAGGACTTTTTGATGGAGCTAACCCGCATTTGAGTTACATAGAGAGGAAGAACACGAGAACCTCGCACGGTCAGCCTGACGGCAAGAGGAGTCTAACCCATGATCCGTCTACCACTGAGGACATTTCACGTCAGCACTGTGGTCGGTGCAAGCCGGATGCGGAATTCGTATTGACTGGGATTCGAACCCGATTCGCCTCATTGGAAGGCGAGTGCTCTATCGCCTGAGCCACCGCGGATCCCACTGATTAATTTGTAATTCAAAACATCTATTTCTAGTTAATATCACAAGCTGTAAACATTGTGAGTAAATACCCCCCTTCAGATATATGCGGGCGATCTTAATTTTAAAGTAGTAAAAATGTGTGAGATTTTTTTTAAATTGCTTTTGTTCATCACAATGTGAAACTAATTTGAATAAATATATGAAATCTGTAACAATCTTCGTAAAATATCAAGTGTTTGCACCGTTCAAAGAATAAGAGATTTGTAAAATCAATTGTTTTATTGCTGCTTCTACAAAATAAAAATAAAAAATAAATAAATAAATAAACTTATCACTTAGTGTAAAATACCAGCATATAAATACAAAGATGACAAAGTGCTCCGCTTTGTAAAAAAAAATATATATATATTTGTTTAAATTGTAACGAAATTTAAGTTATTTTTAGTTCTGTATTTTCCATGTTAAGTAATTTTCCCCCTACTGCGTATCAAAAATTCAAAGCATAATATGAATATATGAATTATATGAATTGTAACTGATATGAATTATATGAATTGCAACTTTACTACAATTATCGTGTGGCGACTCTAATTATCCTCATTCTCCAAGTTTTACTATTTAACTCGCTGGCAATTTTTTAAAACTTTTGCAGAAAGCGGGCCAGTTGGCATAACTGATAATATATATAAACACCTGATATACTTAAGGGAACTTATACTGCTCCTTCTCTATCTCGCTATTAAATATTTAAGAAAAATGTTCCAGGATAAAAATGGAACATCAAACATTTATGCGTGTGTCATATTGTTATTTACTGAAAAAGAGAAAAATACAAATACCGGAATTTAAAATCGAAGTAGGACAAAGGAAGTGCCCCGGAGACTATGACAACCGCTGCTCGAGATTTGAAAAACGGCATAAATATTGAAATGAAAACTTATTATTTAAGTAAAATCGCTTCGAGGTGATAGCTTACTTTAAGAGAATAAAAAACTAGTAACCGCAAATGCTTAAGATAATATATTGACTCACGTAGCATAGTATAAATTAAAACTTGCAAGCTTTGGGCATTAGAAATGAGTTTATGCAGTGATAATGTTTCTTTTTATAGCCCAGATTTATATAAATATTATAACAACGTAGACTGTTACTTCCCATTCTATAAATGTCACTGTTTTTTTTCTTTCAAATAACATATTTTTTCATAATTATAATTTCAAATATGATTTCGATCATTGATTTTTTTTTATCTATAACTTTAAATCATTATTTATCCTTATATAGATATACAGATGGCAAAACTGATCATGCTTGAAACTTTTAAAAATGATGACATATTTACGCATGCAAAGTTCAGATCGTCAAAAATGAAGAGAGGAAGTTAGCTACTTTTAGCTACTAGCTACTTTTTTTAAATTTTTTACCAGAAATATTATAGGATTACGCTTTTTTTCTCTAAATTATAAAAGCGTTGAAAATGAAAGAGAAAATATAACTTTCTATGCTCATTTTGTTGAATGCAAATTTTGCATGGGTAAAAAGGACCCCTTTTCTTAAGGTTTGATTCAGGCATGATGTTTCAATGCATGTCAACAGGTGATGTTCATGATGTTCCACAGGCCTGATGTTGTTCTTGTTTTAGGCATGATGTTTCAAATTAAGCCAACAGTTTTGCCATGTAATCTCCCTATCTCCCAATTTATTGATGAAAGAAATATTGCTTAATATCAAATAATGAAAAGATAGAATCTCGTTATCGTCACTTGATTATCCGGAAAAAAATATATATTACATTTTATGTTTTGTTCTGTATATTTTCGTTTCTTATTTTCTATTTTTACTTGATTGTTTTAATTTTCATGTTTTTATTCATTTTGCTTTTCTTATATGAATACAATATTATAAAGTGCACTTTTTTGCTGATATATTCGTGTGAGCTGATGACGAAGTTATATCGTTTCATTATTTTGTTTTCGGCTTTTTAAATTATTTTTTAATAATAATTTTTTTTAAAATTATAATTTTTAGTTATTTTTCTTCTTCTTTCTACATAAAGCTTTATTATATTTTTTTTTCATGTTTTCTTATGCGTTTAACTTTATATATATATATATCCGGTAATTTCTGGTAATTAAGCAAACCAGTGTATGATTATGGATGAATTCTCTCTATGGATGAAAGAGAGAGAATTCATCCATAATCACACATTGGTTTGCTTAATTTGTCAGAAGAATATACTTTTCTTTAATTTATTTTTTAAGTTACATTTTACTTCAATTTTCTAAAATTATTTTTGGAAAGAGAAAATGGTATGTTGGCAGGAAGGCACTACAGGACGTCTTAAATTACATATTCAAAAGTCTCCATCTCTACCAACTATTTCATTTTTTTAAATTTTTATATGTATTTATCTACATGTATTTTTTCCCCTTCTTTTTGTTCCTCATGTCATTACTTTTGATTTTAGTTATGCAGGAAGTCAATCGCCACAATGTTTTAACTTTTTCCATTTTTCCCATTAAGTCCTTTTTGTTTTCTCGCCTAAGCCAGACTCTGGGGGGGGGGGGAATCGTTCGTCGAATTAACGAGAGATATACATGTAGTAAGTCGATTTCAGTTTCATTTATTTGATTTCAACCACCTGTGTTTGCTTGGGTATGAAGAGAGGATTAATTTTTCCAAAACCGCACACTGAAACTACATATACTCAAAACATATACCTTCAGATTAATTAAACATCTGAAAGTTTCCATGCTACGTCCTTTTTTTTAATCTTTATATCAGGGAATTAAGCTCCCTCTTTGCTGACGCTCACCAACCCCCATGATTGTTTTGAAATAGTAATTGCTGTTTCTTGGTATAAAACAGTTGAAATTATTTAACTAAAAATATAAGAACTAAAAATATATGTACTAAAAATATATGCATTAAAAATATAAGAACTAAAAATATATATACTAAAAATATATGTACTAAAAAGAACGCATTGTCCCGCCTTACCACGTCCAATTATTTATCTCCCTTATGATACTATCAAGATCTATAAGTGAACATAAATCATTTTCCAAAGTAATCATTTTTTGAAATAACATTTAAAAGTAAAAATATATTGTTATGAAAAATTTGGAAAGTTCACAACCGTAATTTCATATTTACGCTTACCAAACGGGAGGATTTTTTAAATACAATTTTTGCACATTGTGCATGAAGCTAATCATCAAGTTCTAAATCATTTAACGAATCCCTTTAACTTCAATTTATAATAATATATTAACGTAATTTACGCAAAAAATAATAATTATAAAACGGTCAATAAGATCAAACACCGATTTAAATCATTTTATCTGTAAGTGTAGCGTGTAAAATGACGTTATAAAAATAATAATTAAGGCTATCAAGCAATATTCGCGATTGCAACGCTCGAGTACGCCCTCTAGCGGGAGCCTGTAAATATCAGACATTAATTTATCACGTTTTCATTTAGTTCCATCAAAGTCATTGGCCATGACGGACGTCATTTTCTTAGCAGCAATAAAAATCAAAATTTCCCTAAGGAAAAGCTGAAGAACTTGAAAAAACTAACCAGAACATGCCAAACATTGAAGCAGAACACGCCAAGCATTTGAAGAACAATTTCTCTATAATTTTTACCTTTCTATTACCAACAACATTTCATGATCACTTGCTGTTACAGAAGTGTATTTTACGGTAAAATAATTTTTTCTGTTTTCAATTCATTACAAATTAAAATGAAGTCAACATTGCTTTCGTCATTCCAATAAATAAATGTGAATTCAGAACGCCAAGTACTGCAATAGTTACAGAATATTATTCTTTGTTATAGAACAGTATATATTTCTGTATCTATATAATTCGGAAAACAACAATAAAGAATCAACCAAATTACTTGAAATTCGCGATCGCAACATACTATAGG